TGCTGCTCATAGGGGGTCATATGATTGTTGGGTTTTTCTCTGTATCTATGAAGCTCCTTGAGGCGACTCTTGTTGTGATTTGGCGCTATATAAATAAAATAGAACTGAATTGAATTGAATAGATGTTGTAATGTACAGATGATCTGAGTTCAACTGAAAGGCTCTGCAATAGAACCTTGAGTTGAGTTTTTTTGGTTTGTTTTTTTTTTTTTTTTACTAATAAACAAAACTCATATAAACATTTGAAAAATAGTAGTTCTACCAATATTATCTAAGGGTTCCTAACATTAAATACATTCAGATGGTTTTACATTTAATATCAAAGAGCAGCTATTCCATTTGCATCAGCTGACATAAACCCAAGCAGGGCAGTAAGAGCAACAAGCAAAGAGTAGTTCGGCTGTTATCCTTGCCCCAATTTCTTTTTAATCTTTTACACCTAAATTTGGCACAAAAGACTCTGGAATCTACCAAACCATGCCAAGCTGTGAATGCCCACGTCTTTAATATTGTGTAACGGTAAACAGATACTTTTAACATAGGTTAACTGACAGATGAGCTCTTTGCATTAATGCAGTTTTTACTTTTATTTCTATAGTGCTAAATCATCACAAGTCATCTTCACAGCAGTTGCTCTGAATCATATTAAATCATTAATTATTTTTCATCAGAAGAAAAATCCTTTAAAATTATTCAATATTTAAAAATATTTCATATTCTAAAATCTGTCAAGATACTCCAGTCGGTCTTTCCCTTCTCTCCCTAAAACGGGAACAGCAGATACACAAGCGAGATAATCTGATACTACAACAGCAATGAGACATTCACTTTCAGCTGCTACTACTTTGTATTAGGTTCAGATAACGTGTAAAACCTTTGAAATTGTATCCAGACTATAAGCTGCACATAAAGCATGAATATAGATTCGAGTCTGTAAAGTAAAGCCGGTGGAAATGCAATAAACCTACATTCTTTTTAATGACCAGTAGGCGCTGACTCTTCTGGTTTCAAAAACATTAATAGTTGTATGATATCTGTGGGAGGTGGGCTTTTGACTTTTTTGCTCTGTGGCCTCAGTTAATATTTTCCTTATGTTAAGTTTTCTTCTTCCAGCTGCACCTTTTAGTGGTTGCCACAGTGGATCATGTGTTCACCTGCCTGTTTCATAATTATATTGAATCTACCTTTTTAAAAATTATGGTCATTATTGGAGTTAGACACGACTACACTGCTATAGTCACTCATCAATAAGCATTTGATTTTTTTTAATAAGCATAAATAGAAGCAGCTTGCAAAGAGTTGGCTGGCGGTAGGTGGCAGACTGCTGCCTACATTCTACTCTAACTGCTAACTTTAGCCACCATTTGCATCCTTTTTGGCCTCATAGAGCCATGCTTGCATAAACCAACGGATTATACCAATACATTTGGAGTCAAACCCATATTACAGCAACTGCTGCAGGACTGCAAGGTATGTAAAACCTTTTTTATTCCTTAAGTTATATTTAGCACCATGTGACTTGTAGTTATTAATCTATGTTACATACTGTCAACTTACACCACTAACAGAGTAGCTAACAGCAAGTTAGTAGCTAATGTTAGCTTAGCTAATAATACTTAGAGTAGTTCTAAAAACTAAGGTTGCATAAAAGTGATGCTGTCATGAAATAAGCTGATCATTAATATTGTAAATATGGACAG